GACAATTCTTTTTCATACATAATCATATAGTATGTATAAGCTTGTATTAATTCATCATAGTTTTCGTAGTTTTCTAATTTTTGGTGTATTCTTTTTGTCCTTAATTGTTCATCATCAGCCGATACTTCTGTATCTTCTATTTTTTTTTGGTTATCCCCCGTGTCTGTTGTCATTGATGCTGATGTTTTTGCATAATTAATATCTATATTTATTGATCTGCTCATTTCCTTCCTCAATGGAAGTGTTTTAAAGTATTTGGGGACCAGTATTGTATCTTCTAGTGTTGTTGTAGTAGTTTTCCTCGAATCACCGGTGATTACTCTTGTATCTTCTATTATAGTTGTCGTCGAATCACCAATAGCTTTTATAGTCGTTTCCTTTTCATAACCGGTAGTAGTGGTTTCCCTTATATCACTTGTTATATCTGTATCTTTAATAATAGTCGTCGTTTTCTTTACATCGCCTGTGGTCTCTTCTATTTCATCAGTCTTGGTGTCTTCTTCAACTTGTTTACCACCAGGTAGAGAGTATGCCCGAGGAGCTACGTCACCAGAGGGAACTGACGGCACTATTCTTGGACTTCGCCAAAAAGTATATGTTGTATAACCGGTTTCATAACTACTATGTTGTTTTAATAGACAAAATACTATTAATCCAGTAATTATAGTCAGATTCATTATCAAAAATTTTGCCAAAATTTTCTGCTACTATTCAATTCTCTTTCAAGGACTACAACTGTCGGACCTATTCTTCTACAACAACATTGTTCATACGCACATTATTAAAGTTTTCTTCTTCTAACTCTATTAATCTGTTTCTTTTATTAAAATAAAATGAAGAATATATAAATACTGTAAACATTCCAATTATAATTACAACAATTCCTGCAAATTGTCCAGGACTAAATAATACTGTTGTTGTTGTTGTTGTTGTCATTGGTTCAGAATTTATTGATATCGTTGTAATTTCATCAAAGTTAAACACTGGTTCAAAGCTGTTAGACACTTGTTCAATACTCGTTTCCAAACTTGCTGTTATTGATTGTTCAGAACTTGTAGAGGATTCAGAACTTGAAGTTGTTATTGTTGTTGTTGTTTCGGGTTGTTCAGTTGGTTCAGAACTTGTTGTTTCAGGTTGTTCACTTGGTTCAGAACTTGTTGTTTCAGGTTGTTCTGTTGGTTTAGAACTTGTTGTTCCAGGTTGTTCAGTTGGTTCAGAACTTGTTGTTTCAGGTTGTTCAGTTGGTTCAGTTGTTTCAGAACTTGTTTTTGTTATTGTTGATTGTTGTTCAGTTGTTTCAGTTATTATTATTGATTGTTGTTGTTCGGTTGATTCAGAACTTGTAACTTGTATTAGTAATAATAAAAGACTACATCTTAACAACGATCGAGAAAACATAATGATAATCTGGCTGGCTGGCTGGTAGTCTGGGGAAGATTTAGTTTTACATTACTTTATATGTATGTATAAAATGGTGTTCAGATGCCAGATACCACCATGTCATTTTCATTTTTACAACTCTGGATTTGGATTATCAATTTTATATTTTTTTAACCACTCTTTTAGTGGTTGTATTTTATCTAGTATTTTTATTAATATCTGATGACATGAATTAATGATTTGTTGCCTCTCGCGCTTAGTAAATAATAATATATTATTTTCTTGGAATATGTTTAACATTTTAATCCGCTTTAAAATATACAATGATTTGTCTACCAATTTTTCCTGGATTTCAGTAACATTAACATCACCTAAAACGTCGTATACAGTCCTCGTAGTACCTTCATAATTATTATTATGTAGGTAATTATTTCTTTGTAATTTTTCAACTTTGGGAATTATTTCATTATGTGCATTAAATTCATCGTTAAAGATTGTAATTAGTGATTGTAAGTCATCTACTTTGTTAGTTTCTTTTAAAAAGTGCGATATTCTACTTAATCTATATATTTCTCTTAATAAATTTATTATATTAAAACGTTCAAGCCGTTGAACGAGTTCAGTAATATATGAATCTGGTAGTATAAGATTAAAATTATTTATATACCCTAGATTAGACTGAATTGTTTTCTGGGCTTTAGTTAAGTGTTTTTCGTTTAATTCATGCAATACGCCAAGTGCTTGTATTTTAATTCCGCAGATAATTAAATTTTTACGTAAATCATTGAGAAAAATTGAAAAATATGATTTTTTATTTTTTATTGTGTTTGAGTAAGGTCTGGTTGTATTGGTTGTAGTTATAAATTTATCAATATTGTCATCTATTTTGCGTAAACAAATAAGTTGCTCCTCAAAATGTTCAAAATATTCTTCATTATACCAACACGTATCTATAACATACCTTATATGATAAAGATGTTTTATTAAATCCTCACTTTTTTCTTCTAATTGCGGAAAAGATTTTCTATAGCCCATCAATACTATAATAGCTAGTACCGCAATAAGTGTTATAATTCTATATATTATCGTAGTCGTAGTATTAATTTCCATTTTTTATATGTTTGTTAAGTTTAATAATTAAAAATATTTAAAAAAAATAATCACGCCATTTCATTGTTTTATTCTTAGCTTGGTGGGAGGTACAGAATAAAAAATGAAACTGTCAGGAGATTCCTACTAGTATTTTAAAAACTCTTTTCTCATTGGCTGGCGAAGGATGTTTATGGGTGGAGCTCCGGTTTTCAGGTTTGTCTATTCTATGATGTAATGTAAATATCAGTTTGTCCTGTCTGTGTGGATTGAGAACATTGTTAAGATATTTCGTCCAGTGCAAGTAAGTAATAATACTAGTATAGCTTTCAATAAGCTATAAAATTAAATTTATATTAATTACAACTGCTAAAGAAGCAGCCTAATCATTTTTATTTTTTTCTACAGAATAATTATCGGAGATGGTTGCTACATATAAAACTATGTATGCTGCACGTTCATTTGTCCGTGTTCCAGGAAGTGGAATTACCAAAGTAGCAGCGAAGAAATCAAAATCTTTATGCTGGGATCTTGCACGTTCCTCAACAGTTGCTGCAGCTATCACAGTTGAACCAATGTTACCATCTGCAATATCAATAACAATAGAATCCTCAAAATTAATCCAGAAAGATGGACAAACTGAAAAAAAAAATGAAACTCGGGAAAGGTCGTACGGGGATCAAAATGCTGCTGCTGCTAGTAGTAGCAGTGAAGTTTATAAGTTAAAACAAGAGCTTCATAATGTAAGACGACAAAATCAAGATCTTCAAAAGCGATTACAACTATTTCATGACCTGTTTAATGACAAAAAGCGATTGGTAGTTATGATCAAGAATTGGGTATCAGAAAATTAACAACATCTCTACCTCTACAGGCAAAGAGTATTGGGTTTTGGGTTTTATATCTATAAGTGTAACAAGACTGTGTTTTTTATTTCTTCCCTCGAAAGAAAACGTTATATAATTAATATTTCTCCATCTTCATTTTCTGATTGATTATTATTGGTATTACTACTATTTGTTATATTAGTTGGAGTGGTGGTGAGTGTGGCAGGTATATCAGTGGATTGTTGCATAAATAGTGGTGGGTGTGATTTTAGTAATACATTTTTATCGGGTATTATTAATTGATTAGAATCATCACTTAATTTATTTAACACATTAATATTTAAATGCCTATACCGGCGACTCGCTGCTAAATTAGCATTAACCCCCCAAACTAATTCCTTATCTTTCAAAAAACTTTTTGTATAATACTGGTCAGTACTTATCGTATTCTCTCTTATCTCTCCTGATTTATCATCCCCACTTTTATTACCCTCTCCTCCTCCTTCTTCTTCTTCTTTTTCTTCTTCTTCTTCTTCTTCTTCACATTCTCTATTTATAATTTTATCTGTTGTATTCCCTTGATTTACATAATGAGAAATAAACTCCTTATAACTAGAATGACCTAATATTTCACCTATAATTTTTAATGGCATAATTGTATCCTTTGACATTTGTTGTGATAACATATTAAAAATTCTAGTTGCATAATCAGCTCTAATAGAATGTAAACCAGCACCTTTGAGTTGTTCTTTTTCAGTTTCATAATTTGATTGTTGTTTAAATTTTCTATTCTCAGCAATTAAATGTAAGGATTTTCTAAATATTTTTTGTGTACTCTGATAACTTACATTAAATATCCTGTCATTCAAAAAGGGCAGAAATGACTTATTTCCTTGTGTTTTTGCATTTAATTTAAATTCTAAATATGGTGTTAGATACTGTGTAAAAAAAATTAAGGGTTCACCATGAAATATAGGAATATTTCGGTCTTTTCCTTGTTTTCCGTAATAAATGGGTAAAACAATTGACTCTGATTGAGGATTATAACTGTCTATAATATTTTGATAGGTTAATTTTTCAGTTTCCTTAGCTCTTAATCCTGTATGATATATAAGAATTAGTTTATAAATATGGTCTCTATTAATACGGCTGTTATTCCAAATGTGAATAAGAGTCTGAGAAATTAGAAGACTGTCGAGAATTGGTTTATTATTTCTCCTAAGACTACCACATAACTTTGGTAGAGCTAATTCTACACCTAGAATAGGACCAATTAAATATTTATTTAGTGTTCGTATATTTGTTTTTCTTGTCTGAAATTTAATCTTACCATCTTGATTGAGGTATGTGTTATAATCTTCAACTATTACTGTAGTTAATAATGCCTTCCTTCCTAGTTTATCAACTTTGAATCGTCCAAATTTTCTTATAATAATTTCATAGTTTCTTAGACTAACCTGTTTAAGCATACGAGTTCTACTATTACCAACAATTGTTCTTTTGGTACGAGGATTTATATATGGTTTATTATATTCATTTTGGAGACGATCTATATCATTTTCATTAAAATAATTTTTTAATTCTTGAATAAATGTATTTTCCATTTATATATTTTTTATTTTATATAAAATTATTTATTTGTGAATAATATTGAAGTTTTATATTATTCATTTTTATTCTATATTAAAAATATAGAATAACAAAATGTATATTAAATATAATAAAAAAGATTATGAAGTAGAAGTAAGTGATGGAGATGAAGATGGTGATAATAAAGATGATAGTAGTAATGAAGGAGACGACGATATAGAAAAGATAGATTCTATTAAAGAAGATATGGTAGAAAATGTAGATTCTAGTAGTAAAGAAGCTGGTGGTGAAATAGATTCTGAAGATGATAAAGAAGTAATACATTATAGTAATATAGTTTCTAGCAGTGAAAAAGGTGGTGGTGTTGAAGAAGAAGAAGAAGAAGATTCTGAAAATGGTAAAATAGATTCTAGTAATATAGTTTCTAGCAGTGAAAAAGGTGGTGGTGTTGAAGAAGAAGAAGAAGATTCTGAAAATGGTAAAATAGATTCTAGTAATATAGTTTCTAGCAGTGAAAAAGGTGGTGGTGTTGAAGAAAAAGAGGAAGAAGAAGATTCTGAAAATGGTAAAGAAATAATAGATTCTAGTAATATAGTTCCTAGTGAAAAAGGTGGTGGCGGTGAAGAAGAAAAAGAAGATTCTGAAAATGGTAAAGAAGTAATAGATTCTAGTAATAAAGTAAGTGAAGAAGATTATGGTGATAAACGAGATATTGATTCTGACATAGAAGAAATAAAATTAGAAGATTCTAGTGTCGGTGTCAATAATGTAAGAATATGCAGCAGAAAACGAAGATTTTTATCAGGAGGAGAAAGAGGAGGAAGAAGTAATGAGGAAAATGAAAGCAGAACTATAGTTTTTGAGAGAAAAGCAGTAAAAGAAGAGCAACTTTCTAGTAGTGGAGAAGATGGTTTACAAAGAAGGAACAAAAGAGCAGAAATAGAAGAGGGAAGAACAATAGTAGAGAGAGGAGGAGGAGGAGGAGGAGGAGGAAGTGGTACTGGTGATGATGAAAGTGATGATGAAGAAAGTGATGAAAGTGGTGATGATGATATTTCTAGCGAATTAAAAGAATTAAAAATATCTAAAATAACAAATTTAATTAATTCTGAAATATCCCGTATATTAGTAATAACAATACTCGTACTAATTATATTAGCTATGATGAATTTACATTGGTCTTTCCTTTATATTATAATATTAATAATATTTATAATGAAACCAGTTATTAGTAAAAACATAGCAATATTATTACTAGATTATTGGGAAATTGAAATATAGATTTTAATCTATTTACACATTTTTAATAATAAATAATAGTAGGCTACAATCAATTATTTTTTTTTTATTTAATTTTTTTTTACATTATTTGGGATACTTAATGTAAAAATGTACAAGCTAATTTGGCCATATTATCTACATAATCATGTTCTTTTAATCCAATATGTGCTGGTATCCACAAAAAATTTATTTTAAATTTTTTGTACATGTTACTATAATTATCTAAAATGTATTGTAATCCACTACGAGAGTCATAAATAATTAAACCATTACATTTATTGTAAACTAAATAATTTATAGCATCCTTAATTCCTTCCAATTCACAACTATTACAATCAATCCAATTATTCAGACGACGCATTTGGGTTGCAATACATTTATTATATTTGTAAACAATATAGGCACAACCAGCTGTTCCATCCTGTTGTACAGATCCATCAGTATATATAGTAACTAACTCAGTTGTACTGCTGGTACTGGAAAGTTGCTTGGTAAGTTGACCAATTTGTTAAATAGTATTTTTCTTCTGTATATGTTTGGGATTAAATTTATTCGTCCTAGTATAATATACATTTTCAGTTGATTTCATTATCATTCTTCTTTTCTGAAAAAAAAAATAAATTTATTTCACAAACCAAATAAATAAAGCTTCCAGCCTTAATCTTAGGAAAAAAGGTTGCAGTTTTGGTTAAAGTTTAAGTATGATAGATAGATCTTATTTCTATTGGTGGTGAATTAGTACCAACAATGGTCTTTCGTCTCTCGGATCCTAATGAACTCTTCAACATGGCTACAACAGGCCTGGGTAAATGGGAAGGGCAATGCTTCTTGTAGTAAGCCTCTACCTGTAACACATCCTTAGTCATAGAAAGCCATATGTCATAAGGTTTGTACTTATTAGTAATGATTGATTTCAAGAAAATTTGGGCGTCAAAGGTGATATAGATCTCTCCGCCTCCTTGACATTCAAAACCAGTATAATCACAACCGGCGAGCATTTGTATGTAAATAAGGAGGTCGGTCATTGTACACCATCCTACCGACAAATTCAAAATCTGTCCAAGATACACCATCATCAGAGTGGTAGATGTAATAAAGCCGATCGATCGACTTCCTCTAAGTTAATCTTGAAATTTTCCAGTTCTCCGTCCCTCCACTCACACATTTCCCAGGGTGAGGTCCGTTTGTCTAACATGTCTTAATAGATTAAGACAGTTCTAATTAACTCGTAAATATTATCAGCACTTGTGATCTCATATTGGACGGACACTTTTAAAGTTAAAATGAGTAGAAATCATATTAGTGTTTTGTTGTAAAAAAACAAAATAAAACAGTGTACTGTATCGTGTCTGTCTTGTGTCTTGTCTCTCTTGCAGCCAATGTTAAACTAACTAGCAACCCAGCGTTAAGCAAGTTGCCACCACTACCCACTACCACTTTTTTTACCAAATTTTTTGAATTTTATATTTTTTTTTATTATATATATATTTTTTTTTATAATATATTTTTATTATTATCATCTTGATGTAAATCTGAAATATCTGAATCTAAAATTTCTTGTTTGTTAATATTAAGTAGATCATTCCGTTTTTGTGGAAAAGGATTTTTCCTTTTACGTTTTGATGTTGAGGAGGAGGACGACCACTTTTGCGCTTGAGGAGGAGGAGTTTGTATGGTGGGAGGTAATAATTGCTTTGAATTCCTTTTCTTTTTTTTTAGTCCAATATATGCATTAATAAATGGTTGAATTTTCTTTGTATTTGGAGGTACTTTTGTAGTAGTTGTTGTGGTTGTAACAGTGGATATAATACAATTATCTCCTTTTCTTCTTTTAAAAACTTTATTTTTTGGTTTTTTTTTATACTCCTCCTCTTCTTCCTCTTCTTCTTCCTCCTCTTCTTCTTCATCTTCATCTTCTTCCTCTTCTTCATCATAATCTCTTAAATCATCTATCTCTGTATCTTTATCTTTATCTTCTATATATTTTTTATCCTCATCTTGCATTTTTGAGGATTTACTCTTTTTAGGTGGTTGAGTCAAGGGCATTGTAGTTTTGTGGTGGTATAATAAACTACAACATTTGTGTTGTTTATATATACTAAGTTTTCAAAAAAAAAATATCAAAATAAAAAATATTTTCATTTTTTTGGTAAATAAGAAACAATTTTTATAATATCTAATGGGTTAGGAGAAATTTTATCTGGTCGAGCCCTACAAATTTGTTTAATATTTTGGGGATTTTCAGTACATAATAACACCTCATAAATCATTTCGTCTTCTAAATGTGAATAATTATATTCAATAAGAGAAATTGATTGAGGAACTCTATTATTATAAAGTATTTTTTTACCTTGAATAAAAATATAATATGGAGCTCATTCATTTTTCATTTTATCAGACAGTAAACACAAAATATCCATTCGTTCAGATGCTTTAAATTCAGAGGATACTATATCTACAATTGCTAAAGGATTATATTTATGTTGATTTGTTTTATATAAATTAGTTTCAACTACAAAAAGAAAATAAATTAAAATATGAACAAGGTACTCATTCAATGAATGAGTATAAGATATACTTGATATTTTTGTAGTAATACAAAAATGTTGTTGTGAAAATTGTAAAATACCACATTGTCCATCTAATTTTGGAAGTCTATATTTAAGAATTTTTTTATCATAAAATTTTTGAGTTTTTAGATTTGTACTATTAATATTATTATCCCAGACTTCATTTTCCTCCCTTATGTGAATAGGTGTACTATCCTTATGAAACTGTTTCATCTCTAATGGAATGGGACTAAGAAAAGCATTTAGTCTCCATGAAGCATGCCAATATAAAGTTCCTGGGCGTTTTGTTTCTAAGGGGACTCCCTCTGAATTTAAAAGGAGGGGTGGTCCCGTTTTAATTTCACTCAAATTTTCATTTTCCAAGATCATAGGAAAAATTCTAGTATGGTCATTAGGTTTATAACGATGGTAAAGGATAGTTTTTGTTTCATAATCGTGCAGATATGTTGTTTTTACACTTAAACTGGTCCCTTCTAAAAATGTAGCTAATCCAATTAATTTAGGACCAATGGTGTCACCATCACCATTAGTAGTAGCGCTTTCCCAAAGTTGTATAAAATAACTATTTTGAAAAACTTTTCCTTCTAAATTAGTATATACAATTTCCAAAGTCTGTGTATCTCTTCGAAATATACGTGATTTATCTTTATTTTTTTTATATTGTATAAAAAAACTATTTTTATTAGGATCAATTATTAAACGATAATCATTTTCAACCATTTCTAAAACACGAGAAATGTAATTAGACCTTGGTGTTGATTCGCCTGGTGTACCATTTAATCGCACTTGAACTAAAGGGTGGGTTATATCAACAAAACGCCGACATTCTGTTTCTGTATACATACTCTCTATTGTGTCCTTATAAATAATACTACTCGGATTGTTAATTTCTTCCATAATTGCTGTAAAACATATTGGAATCTTGTGGTGGGATAAATTCCTATCTGACATAACTGTCACTCTTTCAATGCTAATTGCTACATATAATTTAGCCTCATTCTTATACATTGAGTATTTTTGTGATGCGTAACCTTTCAATATTTCATCTCGGAGTTGTATCCGTTGAGAAACAAATATAGTACAAATTAATACCTCATCTAATATTACTGAAAATTGAACTTTTCGTCGATTCATTATTGTGATATATTAGAGGAAATCCAATCAAATAAATATTTATTATTACTTTCTAAACACTTTAATTTTGTTTTAGCGGCGGCGGTGTTATTTCTTGAAAAATATTCTAAATAAAATAATTATCCACATATTCTGGCGATAAACTGTTTATATTCTCTTGTAACTTATAACTATGAAAACTTTTTAAAACAGTTTTTAATGCATTTATTAAATGTTTCCAGATGTTTTCATAAATTTTTTTAAACAGAACAATAATTTGATCATCTTTTTTTAATACTTTCAATGTATTAATATTTTCAATAAACTTTCGTTTTTGGGTATTGTCTAAAATTACTTTTTCTCCCAAAATTTCTAATATACATATTTGCCTTTTTAATTTACTCGTATGGTCCTTATTACCCATTTCTAATAATAAATATTCAGCTATAGAATCTAAAACATGAAATAAGAATATATTGGTAGAAATTATATTTTTCATTTTATTAATTATTGAATTATCTGTAATATTAAATTGATCGATAATTTGATCGATAATATTATTAATTTTATTACTAAATTTTTGGTTAATGTTCATTTTTCTAGTTTATATATATATTTTTTTTTTAATAAATTCCTCCAAAATATGTATTTCTTCTATAACGGCTCCTTTTAAGAAATTTTTGTTATTTTTATTTATAGTTTTTGTAAACGCACCAATTATAGATGTTGGTGCATATCCAATAAGATGCATACAACCGTAGTTATGAATTAATCGCGTTATTTCTACAGAATGTTTTCCATATA